GAATTTGTTGCAAAGATAAACTAATGTCAGCCATGGTGCCAGTCATTGGCGGAACCTTTTGGCCGGTAAATTGTTCAAAGACTAAGGGGGCGAAGGGTAAGAGTTGCCCAATCGTGGTGATTAAGTTATTGGGTTTAGTTTCAGTAACTGGGGGGGTTGGAGAACGATCAGTCGACTGATTATTTTTCGGGTTGGTATTCTCTTCGAGTAAGGGCATCAGGGTTTAATGGGCTAATTGAAGGAGGGTGTTTAAGCCAAAGGCTAAACCACCCAGAGTGGGTAAGTATTTTAAATATTGATTATCTTTGGTTGGTTGACCATAAAAATAGAGGCCAATACACACCGCCGCCACTATTAATAATAAATATCTTTTATCAAACATTATTTTAAGCGATATTTTTTAACGATCTGCTCATTGAGAGCCTCTTTCAGTTTTTTAAAGGGTTTGAACTTTAAATGGTAATAAACGTAATTCTGTTGATCTCAACCACATTTTTGTCGTTTTTCTTGCTTAATTAGCTTACCTAAAGTGCCTAGTTTAATAGTGGTATCATTTTTATCTCCTAGTAAAGAGTTAAAGAGGTCTTCGGTAACTACTCGGTAAGCTAATTTAACATCTTGCGGAGTATAATTTTTGGTTAGCGTTTTCATTTAAGATAATAATTGGTTTGAACTTTGGTTGGTTTGGTTTAGGAAGGGGGTAATCGATTATCAATCCACTTTCGTTATGGTTCATCATATTTTCATTTTGTCGTCTAGTTCTAAATGATGAAAAGGAATTCCGGTTAAAAAGGAGTGCTGGAGTAAGGGTTTGGGGAGGTAAAAATGATGTGGTGGTAGAGGGTTTAAGCAGTGAAAATATTTTAAAAACTAGTCTCAATTGCTTTTAAAATTTACTGCTTTTTTGAGGATGATTTATTTTTTTTTAAAAATCAAGTTTCCTACTTTTAGTTAAAAGGAGTAATTAAATTAATTGGTTGGAGTTGTAAGTTAGCCAGTTCTTTAATTTCGGGTAGGGTTCAAAGATAAAGTTCTAGTTGATCGGTTAATCTTCGATGACTTTCAGTGTGAGGGTCATCAAGGTTAAGATATTTGGAATCATAATCGAGCAAAAGGCAGTGAGCTATTTCGTGGGCAATGGTGCGAACAAAGTAGAGAAAATTATATTCTTCACCGGGGTTGACATTCATTAAGTGCAAAGCATAGCGATAATTAAAATGAACCGTTTTGGTAATAACTTCAACCTTTCCCACGACTTCCTTGACTGGTCTAGTGCGTCCTTTTCAATTATAACTCATTTCCCAGCCACCGAATTTGATATAAGAAGAGGTGGTGGGGAGAGGAGAGATAAAAAAGAAAACTAAGGCTCGACAGTTTTGATAAACTTTATTAATGGTATGCTCAAAAAAATCTTGTAGCATTTATCTTCTGTTTTTTCTTTTTGGATAACTTGGTTCGCCAATATCTTCTTGACGACAATTAATTTCGCTCCCTCAACCACCGACCGAAACTTTCTGGCGTGGTGATTGTTTAATATCCCGCTTCAATTCTTCGAAAATTCTTTTAATCATTGCTTATCTTCTAAAGGATTTTTAATAGTTTTAACTTTCATAATGCTTATTAAATTATTTTAATCTTTTCAAAAATAACCAAGCATAGCCTCAGTTTTTTAACGAGGTTCCTAGTTTGCAGCAGATTACTTCACTCGGTTAACTTTTAACCTGTTTTAGTTAATTTCCTCTCAACTCTTTAATCTTCATCCACGGGTTCTTTTTTCACAGTAGAAGAGATAAGTTTTAT